CATCCCGATTTTCCTGAAAACCAAAACCAACGGTCTACATCAGTCATAATACATTACACGGGGCAAGTCATGCCCGGGAACTGGCGATCAAAGTGCGAAAGCTCAAAATGACCGGTCGGGTCGTTATAGGTAGGTAATGAGCGGGTTACGAGTGGGTTAGTGTTTAGGGCTATATTTTTAGTTCAACCAATAAAAATATAACACGTGAATTAATTTTTTTAAATAGAAGACGGTTAGAAATAAGGACATAGATGAGCTAAAAATTAAACAGTAAATGCTTTTTTATTAAAAAAGGTGGAAGGAGGACTTTATTGTACCAAATTCAATACTTCAAGGGTACTTAGGCCCTTTTATGTTAAATATGTGGGGCCTAAGGCGGGGGCTTACCTAGGGTTTACGGCACTCGTGACGTATGAGTTAGACGCACGTCTATGGTATTGAATTCTTCCCTTAAGTGAAAATGGTAAAGGGTGAGCCCATTATCTATTGTGTTTTGAACTTTGCGACATTTGTCTTGGAAATTTCTTAGTTAAAAAAGATGAGATACAAAAGAACTTATTTTCTGGTGTGTGGATAAATCAAATGTGACAAAAAAGAAAAGTTAATTTAGAGAATTTGAGTTGAAATTAGAAAGTAAAATCATGAGAACCATGAAAAAAGACTATACATAAAGGAAGAAAAATAAAATTGATGAGCAGGTAAATATATTATTTAATTTAGTGAGAAAAATTTATCCAATTAATTCACTCAATCTTACGTTTACCAAATGTTAAAAATTACTAAAATTTAAAATCTTTTATTAATAATTATATAATATAAATTATGGAGTATATATTATATAATAATATAGTAACCCTTCTTATTTTCGGGGCCTTAAATATTCAGAAAAGGATCTAAAGTACCCCTGAAGTATCGAATTTGGTACAATAAACCCCTCCTTCCATCTTTTCGAATAAAAAAGCATTTACCGTTTCACTTTTGGCTCCTTATTTCTAACATCCTTCTATTTTTAATTTTTTTAATCCAGGTATTATATTTTCATTGGCTCAACTTAAAATCTAGCCCTAAACACTAACCCACCCATAGCCTGCCATTACTGATCCGCTCCCTTTAATTCTTTTAACCCAAAGAATCCATTCTTTAAAGATATAACAACTATGGGTGTTCATGGTTCGATTTGGATCGGTTTTTCCCTTAAAAGAAACCAAACCAAGTAAGTCGGTTTTTCAAATATTAGAACCAAACCAAACCAATTAATTCGGTTTTTTCTCGATTCGGGTTATGTCGGGTTATGTTGGTTTTGTCGGTTTATTCGGTTATTTGTCGGTTTTTTTTCTTAAATATAAGACATACACTACCAAAACCTTATTCCGGCGATCACATTTTCAACGTAACACTATCAAATGAATTGCCCTTTGAGAAATCTATTATTTACCAAGATATATTGATGATAATTGAATCAAATAGTGATGAATAATTTAAGGACTCAATTAAAAATATATTATTTTTAACACGAAATGGATTCTTACACTTAACAAAAGAAAACTACCAAATAAAACTAGAATGTAAAGGTAAAGAACTATACTAAAAGTGCAAACTATTAACATTTACCATTAAAATTTTGAAACTTTGTATCAAAATATACATATATATAGGTATAATAATAAATTTGAAATAGCTACTCCTATAGTCGGTTTGGTTCGGTTTTTCCGTTTTTTTCTGATTAAAACCAAAACCAAACCAAATTTGATCGGTTTTTTAAATTCAAAACCAAAATCAAAACAAACAAAAAGTATCGATTTTTTGGCGATTTAGTTGGTTTTCAGTTTGATTCGGTTTTTCGGGTTTTTA